ATCAGAAATCAAAAAGCCAAACAGAGGAGGCTTTGAACGGTGTCATCGGGGGTCGAAGTGACTTCCAGCTGTCTGTGCGTGGGCCAGGCCTTCTCGCAGGGAAGGAATTGTGCTGTCACACACACCCACTGTCTTTATAGGCTCCCAGAGCCCATGCAGGGCCCGCACCTGCAAGGACAAGGCATCAGTGGGGGCTGGGCAACCTTGGAAGGCCAAATGCAGCGGCTCTGGGGCTGGGCAGTTTCCAAAGCTGCTCACTGCCTCTGAGGCCTGACTTGCACTCAAACTCTCTCCTTTCATCTGCCTGATGGCTTCCTCCCTGGCTGATGGTACAGATGGAGGAGGGGAGCCACCTGCCAGAAACTGAGCATTTCAAAATGTGATAACGGGATTGCGATTGCGGGCCGCCCTTGTGAAATCCCCTCACTTGCCTCATTTGCTTATTTTTATTTTCAAATTTGTATTTTTTCTCCCTCCCTATAAGAAAAATCATGTTTGAAACCTTCCTCTGTTTGAAACACTGTTTCTCTCTCCCCCTCTCCCTCTCCCTCTCTCCCTCTCCCCCTTTGGTCTGGAAGTGTATTTTGACATCAAGTAGAAATAAAGTACTTACTATTTGAGATCCAAAAAACCAAATCACCCAGAATAAGCCCCGGGCAAATGAGATCATCACACACCCAAGCAAACTTAGATTCGGGTAGATTTATCTTTAAAATATATGGACGAGTTCTCCCCCTCTCCAACTTAACCACTGATTCAATAACCCAGCTGCTGCCACCAGGGGATTTTTTCTGCTAGTGACTCTGACAGTCCCTCATTTTGGCTTGAAGAGCTTTTATTGAAATGTAACTTATCAGAAAAACAAACAAAAACAAACAACACCCCATTCATTCTAAATGTAAAAGTCCAGTGAATTTAGCGAATCCCCCGAGTCACTCAGCGATGACCAGAGACAGTTTCCATCGCTTCCCTGCAGAACTTTTAGCTTGTTTCTGGTTTCACCTTTTCCCAGCCTCAGCTCCTCTGCGGAGCTGCTTCCTGTCATGATGCTTCACTTTTGTAAATCTGGGCCGTCTAAATGTGTCCTACCATTGGCAGTAGTTACACCCCGTCTTCCTTTTATTACGTCTTGAAGGTCATCGGGGGTGTATTTTCATGTTTTAGGTATTTATTCCCCTCTATTGCTGAATGTATTCCTTCAAACAGGCATATCATAATGTACATGCTTGCCAGTTGATAGACATTTGGATTGTTGAAAACTTTGAGGCTTTGGGGTTGGTGAGATGGCTCAGCAGGTAAAGGGGCTTGCCACCAAATCTACAACCCAAGTTCAATCCCTGGAACTCACATGGTGGAAGGGAAGAAGAGACTCCTATAAGCTGTCCTGTGTCTTCTACTCAGCATCATGGCATACATGTGCCTTCCTCTTCCCATAAATAAATAAATACATAAATAAATATACATATAAAAATCCAAATCAGAAGCTTTTTTATATTTGCTGTATTTGAGTAATGCCTGCTACTTTTGTGTACATGTCTTTCCTAGAACATTGCTCATTCATAGATTCCTGGGAGTGGGATTTGGGAGTTGAAAATTTAATTTGTGTTTCGTTTTTTAAAGAAATTGCCAAATGATTCTTCAAAGTGGCTGTCCAGTTGTGTATTCCCCCCAACAGTGAACAAAAAGGGCTCCGTTTTCTCCACATCCTTGCCAACACTTGTTATTATCTGCCTTCTATTTTAGCCATTCTTGTGGGTACTTAGTGGTATCTTGTGGGGTCATTTGGTTTGTTTGTTTGATATAGGAGCTTGTTGTGTAGCCCTGACTGGTCTGAAACTCACTGTGTAGCACAGGCTGGCCTTGAATGTGTAGTAATTCTCCTGCCTCTGCTTGCTGGGATTACAGGCAAGCACCTTCATTGTGTATATTTGTACCTCCTAATGATGAATGACACTGAACATGATTAGTGTGTTTATTATGCATCTCTATGTCTTTGGCGTGTGTGTGTGTGTGTGTGTGTGTGTGTGTGTGTGTGTGTGTGTGAGAGAGAGAGAGAGAGAGAGAGAGAGAGAGAGAGAGAAATGCTTATTAAAATATTCTGCCAAGTTTTAAAATGAAGTTGTCATCTTATTGAATTGTAAGGTCTATTTGACAGGCTTTAAAAACTTTGATAGGATCTTAATTTCATAAATCCAGTCTTACAAGTAAGTAATTCAAATAAGATGGTTAATACCCATGGAGTTGAATAACTCCTTTAACAGTATTTTATGGTTATTCACACCCCACAGAGTGCCAGTGTCCTGAAGCTTAGTAGGCAGTCATCTTTCATGTTTAACAGATGATATTGCTGCCCAGACAGAGTGAGGGGTTTAAGTTAGGCAACGTATGGATGCAAACAAGGGCCAGTGTGAGGTCCCTCTAGGGATCTGGAAGCCAAGGGCACATGTAGAAATCCAGGGCCCAGTGTGGGGCCTGGTGCTTCTCCAAGGCTTGCCAGGAAGCAGGATGGCTGTGGACCTTGGACCCAAGCCTTGGACCTATGTTTATTAAAAAAAAAAAAAAAAATGTGCTTATTTGGTAGGTCAGAAGCCAGGTGCCCGGAGTTGATGGTTAGAGAGTTCTGTTGGATTTGGCGTGGCTTCATGGCTTTGGGGTGTGCTGGACTTCACAGGTGGCTCCTGGCAGCAGGGTACCTTGACTTTTCTCACTTCATAAAGCTTTCCATCTAGGGCCGCCCTGCACAGAGCAGCTGTACCTCTTCACCCTCAGTGACCCGACCCAGCAGGAAGACTCACCCCCCTGCCTCTGCTTCATGCTCTGTGGGCTTCCGTACCTAGGTCTGAGGTCCCCCACCAGCAGAAGTGCGGATCTTCCTTCTTGCTCTCCACAGACCTCCTCTGCTGAAGACTAGACCAGGTGGCTGGACCCAGGCTTTCATCTGGATGCCAGGAGAAGGAGGCAGACTATTTTTAGTTATCTTGCTCCAGACAGAGAGGTAGCTCTCGTGTAGACATTTTAATGTCTACATCAAATGTGAAATATTACATAAGCTCTTGGATCTGGACTCTCCCTGTTGACCTCTGACCCTGCCTTTCCTTTGTCAGCTCTCAAGGCTCCTAAAGTGAAGCCACCCTGCCAGGAGGGGGCTGAGTACACTGTGCTGAACTATTCACATTGAACTCTGCATCTGGCAGGAATGACCAGACCAAATGTGCATTGCAGCTGCCAGGGGACTCCATTCAGTGGCTTGTTGAATTCAATGGAAAGAGGTGTTAATAGAGTCGGGGGAAGCGGTGCTGTTTAAAAAAAAATGACATTGTGTGGCTCTGTTTGGTGTTTATTCTCCTTCAATGACTTCCAGATCAAGCTCACACGGTTTGACATCAAAAGATGCCCATTAGGGGATCCAGTTTGAGGCAAATAAGATATTCAGCGCAGTGTACTTAAGCCTCTCGTTCTGCTCTGTCTCATTTCTTGGGATGGATGTCAGATAGTCCGGGATTGCTTTGGCCCCAGTGAGAGTTGGGGCTTGGTGTGCCAGCACTTGACAGTGATACCAGGGTCAGGTGTTACAGCGCTGTCAGATAGGCTGGCCTCAGCCTCTAGGGAGGGTGTGGGTCTCCAGGGGTTGACACCAGCAAGAGATCTGAATTATTCTCTCTCCCTCCTCTGACAAGGTGCAGGGAGATTGGGGAAGGTACCAGAGCTCCAGATGGGGGGGCACTGTTATTTTTGGTGGTCGGATTGGTGTCTCATGGATTATCTGAGAGTGAGGCTTCTCTATAAATAGTTAATGCCCAGGGAACATAGTGTTCCAATCTAAATGATCGCTGGGGGTTCTTGGGAGGAGGGCGACTGTGTAATCATCAAACTGGCTGAAACAATAGCTCTCACCCTTTCTCCTTCCACTGAGGAAGAAAACAAAGAAAAATCTCTAAACTATTCTCAGGATGGCCAGAGGTAGCCTCCCTCCTCCTTTGCTCAGGGGGTGTGGAGTAGTGGTTTCTTGGGGATTGAGAAAAAACATACTCTTTTTACTTACATAGTACAAATGGGTGTACACAGTGCAGCAATGTTTCTTTTGTCCACTAACATTTTCTTTAGAGGGCGATTGGAGAAAATGGTCTAAAAATACTCCTTCAATGGGCAACAATGAAACCGTTGCAAAACCCTTTTCTAAAGCTGAGGGTTTGGGAACCTGGATGAAAGCAGAATCCTGGCAGGTAAATAAACAGTCTGAGCTGACTCCTGACACATGGAGGTTCTTGCTCTCTACAGAAAGAGTTGCCAAAGGTACGGAGTGGTAAGCACCGGGACTTTGCTGCTGGGAGCACCCTGCTCCTATCATCTGTGATAGAAATGTCAAAGTGAGGCCCCGGGTGATCTCAGCAATTTCCGGGGTTGTTTCCCATCCCCTTCGCCAACCTGCTGCTGGGAATTTCCGAGTGTGGTGCTTCACAATGTAGATGTTCAGTGGGATGCTGCTGCCTCTATCTCCAGTGTGTGCGAGGGAGGCAACGCTTTCCATCTATTCAAGGCAGGGATGGAGAAGCAACCAGGGAGGAGTCTGGTCTAAGCTCTTTAACCAGGGCCATGAGAAAAAGATTCTAAACGGCTTACCTTGCACTGGCAGAAGAGAGTTGAAATGGAGACCCCAGGCTTTAATGCCATAGGGCTGCCAGTGTTAACCTGCCCAGAACAAAGCTCAGGGCTGCTGGGGGAGGCTTCCCACCCTACTCTGCTGTGGGGTGTGGTAGGCTGGAAGAGTCCTACCGAATCCTCAGCTTTATGAGAAAGAAGTCTCCATTGCCATGAGTCCTAGCTCCTTGTGAGTCCCTGGGATGAGCACACACCTGGATTTGCTTTGTTGTGTTTTCTCTCTGGTTCTACTTCCCTCCTCTGTCTCTTCCTTCCTCCTCTTCCTTTTTCTTTGGCCTTGTACAAACCCCAACCATTCAACAGTTCTGGAGAGTAGATAGTATTTACCTCAATAATGGTAGTCTCTTTTCATTTCTTTTTAACCCTCAACTCAGATGACGGCTCTAAGCCCACCCCCACGATGGAGACCCAGCCTGTATTCGATGGAGATGGTAAGCTATTTTCTTCTTCTTTTTTTTTTTTTTTTACTTTCCACTCTTACTCTTTCCACTCATGTTCAGAATTGGGCAAGATATCAGCTTTATATGTTTGTTTAAGCTTCACTATTATTTTTTTCTTTTTTAATTTCAGAATTGGGCAAGATATTAGCTTTACATGTTTGTTTAAGTTCCATTATTATTTTTTCCCTTTTTTTAATTTCAATTTTTTCCCAGTACAAGCTGGTTTGCCCCAACCTTTTAAAAAAATGCGAAACCTCCAAGTGACTTGTGCATACTCTCTACCCCTGGAATGGTCCTCTGTTCTTCCCAGGCTCTCTGCCTGTAGCCCAATGTCCAACAAAAACATGGTTTAGACAGACCCTCCAAGCTGCCAAGACCAGGGAGTCATGGTGAGAAAGGCTGGTGAAGGCAGTCAGTCTTCAGCTCTTCAGCATGGGATTCAGCACTTAGAACTGCCTACTCTGTGCCTGGAGTGGCGCAGGGTTGCTGGGGGCTGGGGGTGAGGTGGGGATGAGAAGGAAGTATATGAATGTCAGTCTTCCTCTCACTGAAACCCCTAGAAGAGCCTCTTGAACTAAGTTCCAGGTCTTGGTCCTATCACTGTGATAGATACTTAAGGAAGAAGGAGTTGGCATTGTTCTGGGAAGAGCTGGCAAGACGAGGGACTTGTGCTGGATCTTGTAAGCAGAAGGAAGGAAACAGGGGTATTCCAGACACTGAGGATTGGCCAGGGACAGGGAGGGAAAGGTGATGGGTATGGGCCACCATTAGGGAAGTAGGAGAAAGATTGGCAAGTGGGGCTGGCTAGGCAAGGGCATAGGGATTTGGGGAGTTGAATGAAGACATTTGGGAGAAACATTCTAGGTCAAGGGCAATAGTGGATAGTGACCAAACAAAGGCTAGGAGTCCCCGGAGGCAAGGGGAGTGGATTGGAGGAGCTGGGGTACAGAAGCCTGGCTCCTGTTCAAAGTGGTGGGCACTTGGCCTTCTGTTCTGCAGAGACTTTCCCTAGCGCTCCAGATTCCTGTGAATAAGAACAAGACGTTTGGCAGAATCAGGTTTCCAGAAAGTGTGACCATGAAGTTCGGCTTTCAGTAGACAACATGAAGCAAAATTTTAGCAGTGTATCTGGATCTTGAGACAGTGGGACAGAGAAGCCAAACAACATCATGCCATGGCACCATGGCTGGGATGCTCCTAGTGTAGGCTCCGCTCAGTGAGAACTGAGAGGTGCGATAAGAATCCACAAACACCCCCCTTTGTCATTAGAAAGCGTGAGTCCCAGGGGATTGGGTGGAGGATGGAGAGGATGGCATCTGGGGAGACCATCCTGCTGATGTCACTGAAGATCTGGTTGCTGCACGGTATCCTCAGGGTGACCCCCCCCAGGATCGCCACACCTCCAGTCTTCTTGGTGACGCTGGTACCGAGAGCCTGCAGGCACCCTGAGGTGCCCTAGATGGAGGTGCTTGGCCTGTGCTCCTCTTGACTGGGAGAAGGGGTTGGAGTACCTGTTAGACTCACTCCTTGCTTCCCCACACGGGGCAGAAGCTCCGGGAGCTGAACCTGCCCTGTTTCAGCTGTTTCCTCTCCACTGGTCTCTGCGGCGCGGTCTGGCACTCGTTTGTTGATTTATCCCCTTTAAATCTTCTCCCAGGGAAGCAGTTGAGAGGGACTTGGCTTGGCCCGTGTTCCTCACCTCCTGGGATAATATTTTTATTCCTTGATGGAGTGGCTTGGTGCCTCTGGATTCCGACTCCTCTCCATCCCAGCACAGGATGCCCTGGTTGTCTCTTAGAAGCTGGTGGGGAGAAGCGCTTCCGTCACAAGGAAGAGAGCGCGCGTTGGCACTGGGATGAGGTTGATATGCCAAGAGGGAGATAGCTGAGGCTTTGATGTGTAGGCCTCTGAAAAGGTTACTGCAAGTTTGGGTTATACTCCATGTCCCATACTTCTCTTTGCCCACATATGCACACACATTCTCTTTCTTGTTTTTTTTTTTTTTTTCTAGAAATCACAGCTCCCACACTATGGATTAAGCATTTGGTAATCAAAGAGTCCAAACTGAATAACACCAATGTAAGAAATTCAGGTAAATACTCTTTTTTGAATTACGTATGTATTCAATTCTTTGTCTCTGGGTGTCCCATAGCTGTTCCATGACTACTCATTGTGTGGATTTATTTCCTTTTATCTGTTTCCTTCCTTCTCTTTCTCATCTGCCTTCCCTTCCCCTTCCTCCTTTCTCCTTCATCTTCCTTCTCTTCTTCCTCCTCCTCCTTTACTCCTTTTTCTGAGATGGTCTTATTATTTAGCCCGGGTCCATCTCAAACTAGTGATTTTTCCACCCCAGTCTCCTCCCAGCACTCTGCTGGGGTTGTGTCCACCTCACCCGGCTTTACAGGGTAGTTTGGGGCAAGTCATGTAACTTGTATTATCTTCTTTGTCTACAGCTATAAAATAAGGAGATCTGATGAGTTAATCTCCTCCAGTTTTTATTTTCTTCTTTTATCCTAGCCAGAATCAACTTTTATGAGTAGTTGATCTGTTTGGATGTCAAACTTTGTCAAGGTGTTTTAATATTTTGATTGACTTTCTAAATGCCACCCAGGAGAATTTGAAAGGAGCAGGCTGGGCATACAGAAGTTGGACTTCAAGCACCAACAGACTTAATTCTTCTGTTTTAAGGTTTTCAAGCTGCTTACAGTCATGCCCTTCCTGTTTTGATCTTTTGAGGTCTCGGGAATGGTGGTCAGGTTTTGGCATTGACTGGGTAGAAAGGTGATGAATTCTGAGGCATGATCACATTCATAGGATTTACTTGAACATTATTTGCCGCCAACCAAGATGGAACCCAGCCAAGTTCACTGGCCATCAGTAGAGACTAAATATTCACCAATGGAAAACATCACAACGAACCAGAGCTGTGTTATTATCGGGGAGGATCATTCTTGAACTTAAGACATCATTATAAGAACGATCACTTGTCATAATTTATGTTGTTGGCGGAGTTTAATTTAGCCATGTCCTTCCTTTATGGGTGTCAAGAACTGTGGACAAAGGATTCCTGCCTTTGAATGGGCAGGCAGGGTTTTCTGTGACCATTGATCTGTGAGTGGGTGTGCTGTCACTGGCTTCTCTATTTTACAGAGTGCCAGCTCTGTACTATAGGTGGCAGTATGGAGGCTAGTGTTCAGGGAATGAGACCAAGAGCGAATGGTGGGCTTTCTGTATGGCTCGGGCTGCTCGGTGTTTCTCCGTGTGACTGGCTTACTATTTGATATAAGATGGACGGATGGGATGGTGACATAAAAGAGGCCATGTGAATTGCCTTGGGCTAGAGTATGATAGAATAGGGCAGCAGGTAAAGCACAGGCTTTGGAATCAGCAACATCTAGGTATTTACACACAGTGAGTGACTCTAGGCAAATAAATTCCCTGGCCTCAGTTCTCACCTATAGGGCGGGCTCATGGTTTGTCCTTCTAAAGGCTCACTAAGTTAATGTCTGTGTGCTTCCTGACTGATGCCTGGCTAGACGGTGAGTTCTTAGGTGCGTGTAGTTATTACTGTCAACATTGTTGATAACAATAATATGAGGATTTTTGTTTGGTGGTGCTGTGCATGCTATGACCCTGTGCATGCTATGACCCTGTGCATGCTATGATCCTGTGC